CGGTGCAGCCCCCCACTGGGCGCAGCGGGGTCCGCCGGAGAGGACTCCCCCGGCCCCAGCGAGGCGGCAGGGCTTCGGGGCTCTCCTGCGGTCCCCGGGGGTTTCCCGGCACCGTCCCGTGTGTCCCCCCCTCTCCATCCCCATCTCGCGTCCCGGTCCTGCCAGTGCGCAGAGCTGGCAGCTCCTGCTGCGGGAGCAGGGCTCGCCCCCCCCGAGGACCCGGACAAACCTCCGCCGTGCAGCCGGGAGCTGCCTCGACCCCCGCGTTCTGGCCGCCGCTGGCGGTGACGGGTCGGTGTCCGCCGCACGCTGTCCTGCCGCAGCACAACCAGGTAAACACATCCCAGGGCAGCAGCAAACGCTCTGGGCACCCCCCAAGCCCCCGGGTCTGGGGCTGGAGTGTGGCCTGGGCAGAGACCCTGGCCACAGGGGTGCCAGCAACCGACCCACCGCCCTGCCTCAGCCCTTGGGCACAAACATATTTACCTTGGGCCAACAGCCGTGGCGGCCATGCAGGCCATGGCAGCTCAGGGACACCAAGCGTCCTCCTACCTGGACCCCGGCCAGGCCAGCCCCCCGGAGCCCCCCAGCCAGTGCCCCCAGCCAGGGTCTCACTCTGCTCAGCCACCCGCTCGCTGGAAGCCCCTGCGGGTGTGGACAGAGTGGCCCAGCTGCCTGGGCACACACTGGGGCTTGCGGGTGCCTCACCAGTACTGGGGGTGGTCGGCCCCCCCCAGAGACAGCCCTTGCACCCCTCCGGGTCAGGAGGAGGCTGTGGAGGGGGAGGACTCGCAGCCCCCAGCCCTGCCCAGTGCAGGCAGAGGGGTGACCTGTGGAAGCCCCTCCAGGCAGCAAGGCCTGGGGCTCGGCTCGCTGCCCGTGAGGTGGGGGGGGTGCCTGGGCAGAGGGCAGGATGAGACCAGGAGGGGCCAGCCAGCTACAGTGAGTGCAAACACCGCTGGCAACAGGCTGTTGACAGTCCTGAGGCCTCTCGTTTTCCGATGCTCAGAGATAAGAAGTGCTCTCGCGCTGTGCAGCTCCTGGACGCTCCGTGCTCCAGGCTGTGTCTGGCACATGCTGTCCTGCCGGTGTGGCTGCGGCGCAGCTCAGGTGCCATAAGGGACGTGGGAAGAGGGTATGCCAGTGCCAGGAGCGCAGGGCTGGCACAGCTGGTGGGACCGTGGCCCGGCTGGAACGTCCCTGCTGCTGGCCGGCACAGGGCTGAGCGGGGCTCTGTGCTGCTGGAGGGTGATGGCCAGCTGGGGCAGGGCCCTGCAGCTCTGTTGCTCTCCTGCTCCACGTTGGCCTTTTGCGTGGGTGCAGAGCAGCACCCATCTGCCCTGGAAGCGGTGTTGGGGTGGCTGGGGGCATGAGCCAGCGCAGCCCAGCCAGGGCCAGGCAGCCCCCAGCCCCTCACAAGGAAAGAGGGCTTAGCTTGCCCCACACTCACCTGCCCACAGCTCTCACACAGGGCCAGGCACAGGAACAAAGCAGCGATGCCAGCCAGCATCATTAGACTTCGTTAAGGTGACGAGCTTTCACTTCTCTGCTGTCCCAGGCTGGCTCTGTTCTGCCTGCTGGAGCCCAATTAGTGTCACATCCAGGAGGCAGCTCCCACGAAGAGGCAGAGGCGGGCAGGCGCCCTTGGCACAGCTCTGCCCAGGAGCTGCCTGCTCGGCTGAGACTGGGCACAGCTTGGCGCAGGGCTGGCCCCGGAGCCTGGCCCATGGCTCCCCACTGTGTGGGGCCAGGAGGTGCTGGGCTCATCCCCTGCCTCGGGGTCAGGCTGGGGGCACAGAACAGGGTGAAGACTCCCCTGCTTGGTGCAGTGCTGAGGGGATGAGCCTCGCTCTCCTCCCTCTATTCCTGGGGAGCTCAGCTCCCAGCCTGAGCCCTCCCACAGCAGGAGGGGGAACAGCATCCCCCCCGCCCCGAAGAAGGACACCAGGCCCTGCGCTTGTTCCACTCTTTATTATATATTAAGGTCACAGATAGTCCAGTTCTTTGATCCCTCGGGGCCACCACGCACAGGGGTGCACACAGCAGAGGAGCTGGTGCCTGCAGCCCCCCTGTGCAGGGCAGTGCAGGGCAAGGGGGGGCTGTGAGGCAGCCTCGGTGCACTCGGGGCTGGGGTCTGCCCCGGCCTTGTTGCAATGGCTGGTGGGGGCAGGTGAGGCCGCAGAACGGTGCTGGACGGATGCCCCCACCCGAGGCCAGGTCTGGTGGAGGGGGAGCACGCCATGGGCGAGGGAACGCCGGGTCCTCGGACACGCGCTGCCTGGCCCTGGCCAGAGCCAGGGGACAGCGGCGCAGCTGCCGGCCTTGCCCCAGGCGAGGAGGGCTCCATCCCGTGCCTGGCCAGCAGGGCAGGGTGGCCGAGCGGCTGCCCCTCGCCCGCGGGGTCCGTTCTCTGTCATCATTGGTATGAGGCACAATCCCTGAAGAGCCCAGCAGCCGTCGGGCGCTGGTGAGTTTTGGCCAAGCAGGAGCAGGGGGTGTTTGGGGAGGCTGGGAAGCGGAGCAGGGATGCCAGGCTGCCCTGGGGTCAGCGGAGGAGCACGTGGGGCCAGAGGCACTAAGGGAGGACAGGGCCTCGCTGTGCCAAACCTGCGTCTCCCCTTGCTGCTGGCAGCAGAGGCTGGGAGTGAGCCAGCCCCACAGCCCCCAGCATGGGCCCGGCTGCAGTGTGGTCACTGGACCCCCCAGCCCCGTGGGCTCTGTGACCAGGCACGGAGCCAGAAGGCGGGATCCCCCGTCCTCCCCAGGACAGCGTGGTCCTGCTCCTGGCAGCCCATATGGGACAGGGCTGAGGGAGGCAAGGGCAGAACTTGTGGCCAGTAGGGCAGTGGGAAGACAGCAAAAAAACCCCCAAACAAACAGTGCAGAGGGGACAAGAGGCCCAAGAATATCCCAGAGGTAACAGAGATGCTGAGAATGGGGGTGAGAGAGGAAAGGGGAGACCGGGACTGGCTGGCCACAGGCACTGGCAAGGCACAGGAGTGGGGATGAGGGGTAGGGGGAACGGCGCTGGCCCCAGACAGCGGAGAGGGGTTCTGGGATCTCAGCGGTGACCTGCACGCTCACCCCCCTGGGGCGAGGCAGGGTCCCATCCCTCCTACTCAGGTGATCACTTTGATCCCAAAGTATTTGCGCAGCTGCTCCAGGAAGACAAAGGTGAGGACGGTGTGAGGAATGAGCCGGATGGCAGCAGGAACGAAGCCCTGGAAGGGGACAGCGAGAAGGTGGAGAGTCAGTGTGTGCCTGGCCCTGGGCTTCCCTGTGAGTGCCAAGGGTGCCCAGCAGCCCAACCCCTGGGGAGCGGCACGAGCTTGCAAGCACGGGGGAGCGGCTGGCTGGGCATGCAGCACGAGCTCCGAGGAGCTGGGGCCTTGGTGTCAGGCAGAGACTGCCACAGCGGTGAGGGAGGCACCGCAGCCATCGCTGTGCACACAGATCTCAGCATCATGCATCAACCCCTCTGCCCCCAAACACATCAGTGCTGGCATCACCACTACGTAGGCAGAATCTCAGTAGAAGCCCGAGTCAGATCCCACAGCCCCCGGTTCAGAAAGGGGTTGGACGCTGCCTGGGGAAGATGAGCGGACAGGCTGTAACAGGGAAAATGCCTGACTGGCAGCATCTGGAAAAAACCTCGGGTTTGAAACCCCTTTTCAGGGGCCCTCCCAGGAGTGAGACTGAACACATGGGTGACTGCACCAAGCCCGGGCACGTAGGGCCCAAGAGCTGACCGGGTCTGCTGGTCAGCAACATCCAATGAGTGCTGGAGCACCACTGCCCGTACCTGCATTCCCATTGGGGAACCCAGCGGGTGCAACAGGGCAGCTCCTGCAGTGCCCAGACCCAGGCTGCAAGCCCAGAAGAGGCCAAGGCTCGCAACACTCCAGGGCCAAGCTGGGGACTGGCAGATGAAGGCCTGATGCAGGAAGCAGTCAGGCTGCTGGCAGCAGAGCCCAGAAGGCTCCTACTCCAGAACTGTTCTGCACCTTAACCTCTGCTTCCAGCCCGGCCCCGTCTCCCCACACTGCACCCTACCAGCCCACCCCATGCATCCCCAGGTAGGTACCTTGTAGAAGGCGAGGGGCCCGAGCTTGGCGGTTTCCATGGCACAGTGGGTAACACCCTGGAGCGAGAGGCAGAGAGGTGAGGAGGCGCCCGGAGGCAGAGGCCAGTGTGCAAATGGGACAGGATGGGCTACTCACCCGGTACTCGCCCTGGGAGTTCATGAGGCGGGTCTTGAGCACATCCAGGGGCTGGCACAGGAATGTGGCGCATCCACCCTGGAAAGAGTCAGTGGGGGTCAGCAGCTCTGGCTCACGGAGGAGACCTGGGTGCCAGCGACTGCCATGGTCACTGGAGAGACCCAGAGCTCTGCCTGGGCCCAATCCCATGCTGGGAGCCCCACAGGAGCCCCTGTGCCCAGCCCTGCTTCATCAGAGTCCTGAGAGGCAGCTCTGACAGCCCCAGCCTGGGGTCCTGAGCTCGGCTGCAGGCAAACCCAGTCCCAGTCCTGCCTCCCCGCACCCAGCCCTGCTCACAGCGATGAAGCTGGCCAGGAAGTGAGTGAAGATGTTGTCTGACAGCAACCCAGTCGAGAGAACCAGCTGCTTGGCCTGGTCGTAACAGGAGAGCTGTGGAGACACGGCGTATTAGTGACACGTCCCCCCTCCTCGCCATGCCAGGGACTACCCCTGTCCCTACCCTGGGCACCTACTGCCCGGCAGAGCTGTCCTACCTGCCCAATGGTGACCAGGGCCCCTCGGCTGGATGCCATCGTAGCTCCCGAAAAGAGTTTCTTCAAGCCCTCTGCAGACAGACAGATTGGGATCAGCACAGTCCTGGGACATTACTTGCACTCCCTTCCTCCCTGCCCGGTCTGTGTCCCAGACTCCTCATACAACAGTGCTTAAAACACACAACAGCAAATAGGCTGCAGGAAAGGAGAATCCTTCCGAATAGCCCTACCTCCTCCCTGCTGCCGTTCATTCCCCTTCCCACCTGCTCCACCCTCTTGCCCTTTTTCATAGCGGTTCCCGGCAGGTCTCTCTTTTCCACCCGAGCACAGGCAGGCTGGCCCGC